CCTACAGAAAGCCCTACTCTGTCCTTCTGTCACCAGATCCCTTGCAGACTTTACTGGTCTCCAACAGCCTTCATACTAGATAGGTCTTCCTGGTCTGCATGTGCCCTTATGGCAGTGGTGGGGAAAAAAGAGACCCACAGGCCATATGTGGCCTGCCAAAGGATTTTGTCTGGCCTGTGGCAGGTCCCCAGGCATGTGGGGCAGTCTAGATGGTGGCTCATGCAACCAGTCCTGCTGCCTCTAGGCATGCAGCAGGGCACAGTGCCTGGACTCATTTCTCTGCAATGGCAGCTCATTCTGGCTGTCACTGCTGTCAGACCCAGCACTGCTGCCCAGGTACCCCAGCGAGTCAGCCCTGCACCCACCACTGAGGGCAAGACCCACTTGGGCAGAGCACACACCTGGCCAGATGGGATAGGGCCATGGGAAGGCAGGGAGCTGTGTTTGGGAGCGGGATAAGCAGGAAAGGCGAGGATCATGGGGCAGAATTGCAGGGTGATGACATTGTGGGGCTGGAGCCAGGTTAAAGCTGCAATCCAGTCCGTGCACACCCTCATAATGGGTGCAGGATCCATGGGCAGGTGCATGCAGGGAGCAGATTATGGCTTTGGCCTGGGCCTAGCCCTGGTCCCAGACTGTCACAGCCTCCAAATCCCAGATTCAGTCCTAGAAACAGCTCCCCACCCACCTGCAGTCCCAACCTGTCCCCTTGGCCACACATCCTGCCCATGCAGGTCCTGGCTGGTTTCCTTGGAAACCCCAAGACTGCGGGGCTCTGGGAGCATGTGGTTAGGGCCCTGGGCAGAGTCACATTCTGAATTTTTAGCAAGCCATATCAGCAAATACTGATCTGATTGCTGATATGCAGGTGGGCAGCTTATAGAGCAGCATCCGGCTGGTAAGTGTGTTGCGGCTGAAAGGGGGAAGGGGTGTGTGGTGGGGGGCAGATTGAGGCCCCCACAGTGAGGAAAGGAGTGGGACTGGGACAGGAGCAGGTGCTGCACAGTGCTTATCCGGGAAGGATGGGGGGGAGCGGGGGATGGCAGCTCCCGCTGCTACACGCAACCCAGAAGGGCATGGGGATGTGTGCCCCTGTCTGGATCTGTGCATGGAGTGAGCAGGGGCTGCTGCTGCAGTCTGGGGCCAAGGGCAAAGCCAGGCTTTTCTTAGTGGGGGGCTGGACTAGACTATGCAGGGAAAGGGGCTATAGGAGGGGGGGACTGCAGCCACCAGAACATTCGCAGTAGCCCTTCGCCGCAC